GAGGGACTGGCTGTGGTGACTGATAGAGGGACTGGCTGTGGTGACTGATAGAGGGACTGGCTGTGGTGACTGATAGAGGGACTGGCTGTGGTGACTGACAGGGTTTCCTCGCTTACTGTTTTTACTGTTGTATTTACTTCTGTGGAAGGTGAGGAGGGAAACAGAAGAGGTCTGTAATGAAGCACAAACAAAGGAGCCAAATATTGGCGACCCTGAATAGTAACTTAACTTTTTAGTAAGTAGTAAGTATTGAGGACGTTTTAAACCAAAGGGGCGAACGAGGAATTATGCTTTAATGCATATTTCAATTTTATTTATCGGACCTGTTCACGTTAGTTAAGAGAAAAAAATTAAAAAGCAGCCAAAAACCAAACCAACCGGTTTCCAGCTAACCACGTAGGCTGTCTGCCATTATGGGTAATAATGGTGCACCGTATTACCGTTAGACGCTCCATATCAGCTTTCTTCTTTCGGTTAACAAGCACAAAATGCATATCTGGCTGATAAATGAGTATCAGATGGGGGATTGGGTAAAGGCATCAGTATCCACTGTGTCTTTAAATCCACGTATTGCGGACCCCCCATGCACACCGCACCGGCTCCCGCCTTCGCTGCCCTTTCCTCTAGGTATTTCATGAGAAACAGGGAGTTCCTCTGCGGGAGAAACAGCATGTTTGGCCCGATAATTAAACTGTAGCAGGGGCGTGCGGAGCGCCAGGCACCGGGCAGGGGTCCGAGGACAGTCGACGTGGGGTCTTTACCCCGGAAAGGAGCGAGTTTTCAGGCCGATGAGACGCGGATACCAGCACCAGGTCGCGCCTCGGGGTCCCTGAGTTCAGGTTCACCTTTTTAAAGCGGGCCGCTTTCCGCTTCATCTCGGTCCGGTAAGTAAGATGTCTCCTTGTGCATCCCTGCTAGTGCACAGGGAAACTGCTTATATCAGCTTTATTAATGCTGGATTTTAACTCATAAAAAAGGAATGGGAAGATGTGAAATTCTGCAGCCGAAGCAGCTCTTTACTGGATCCGTAACGCAGTTAAAACGCATCCATGCGGGCCGCTTTTGCTGTGCACTTTGGTCAGCAGTCAGTTTCAGTGAATGAATCAGCATTTTTTTAAAGCGGTTGATGTGACCTTTATCCAGTAGCTCGCATGTCCTGTCATAACCACGGCTTCCTGGAAGGAGCCACTAACCTGAGCGGGATTCCAGTGGCGTGACTCCACTCGTGTACCTCGTACATCCTCTGACTGCTGCAGCCAGTTTCGGACACCTCATGCCTGACTGTTGGTGTGTTTGGGCTGTTGAGTCTCTCTGAACAATGTCAGCACTGTCACCTGTTGAGGCTTATCTGTGGGTGTCTGTGCACATCCTGGTTTTCTGGTCCGCCCTTCTCCCAGGTGCCAGTCCCTTGGTCGTTTCCCCACCTGCTGCTACATACGCACACCAGCTGTAGCATGAGACCTGTGCATTGTGAGGTTGGGTCTTTTGTACTTGATTACCCCTGATTTTGGGCAGCCACCACGGGAAACCTAAACTCACATAGGCCACAGACACACAGAAACACAGAGACATACAGACATATACTTACTCACAGACAGAAACACACAGACTCAGCCAGAAACACTCACACAGACAAGCACACATGTTCTTCATATGGCTTTTGTTTGATCCACATGCTGTGCCATTTTCCTTGGGAAAATGTGTTTTGCTTTATGCCGCTCTGTGTGTGTGTGTGTGTGTCTGTCTGTCTGTTTTTCTGTGAGTGAGTGGTGTCTGTGAGTGTGTGTCTGTGCCTGTCTGTGTGCATGTGTGTGTATGTGTGTGTGTCTATCTGTGTCTATTTTTCTGTGAGTGTGTGTCTCTGTCTGTTTATGTGAGTGTGTGTATGTCTGTGTTTCTGTGAGTGTGTATCTCTGTGCTTGTATGAGTGTGTGTCTGTCTGTCTGTGTTTTTATGAGTGTGTGTCTATGAGTGTGTGTGTCTGTCTATGAGTGTGTGTATCTGTGAATGTGTGTCTGTCTGTGTTTCTGTGTGTGTCTGTATGTGTGCAGTGTCTGTGTGGGGTGGGATGTGGGGCTGCTCTCTTCTTGGGCTCCACGTGGCCGAACTTTCACTGTCCGCTGGCCTCCTGCTCACTACAGATGGAACAGCAACTATTTCCTACCGCAAGCCAAGAGGATGTTTGGGGTCTGGGGAGCCAGAAGCATTACTGACTTGTCACCTCAGGGCTAGAGTCACTTGGCGCATAGAGGTGGCAAGCGCTTCTGATTGGGGGAGGGGCCGTCATTATGGACGAGAGACGGGTGAAACGTGTTCTGTTTCTTCAGAGTTTGGCCGGTCCCGCATGCAGGGGCGGTGGTGCGGGTTATCATTGTCCAAACACCCCTGGCACACAGCTCTTGCAACAGCGGCGCTTTCAGTTTTCACTGTGGATATTTGACCTTTGACCTTGTGAGCCTGGTCTCAGATCAATGAATCCTGGAGGGTGCTCAATGTAAAAACAACCCAGACAGCAAAAGCTGGATAATTACACAGAAGCATGCTGCGTATCCCCGACCCCTAGCAGTGCCTCTTAGGTCATGAGTACCTGTTAGTACACGCCACACTCTGCCCTGTCACATGACCCACACGTAGGGGCGGGTTACCTGTGTGAGCTCCGGCCCCCAGGTCACATGCTCCGACGAGCTGGCTGCCGTCAGTCGTCATTGTTTAGATATGAGGGGGGAGCGGAATGTGAAATGGACCACAGAATTTTTTTTTTTCCGATGAGCTGTTTTTCCGTCTCCAGTGCAGGCAGAACTGGCGGGGGTGGGGGGTTACATTCTTCATTCTGTTTTGTAGAGGCTGGGAAATCGGGGGTAGAGCAGTGATCACTTAGCCTGGTCTGGGGGCCTTGGCTTTGTGTGTGTCTGTGCTGAGGTAAAACAATACCGTTGAAAGGATCCGGGGGTGAGCTGCATGGCATGCTCCCAGTGCATTCTGGGAAGGGGCAGCCCCTTTCACCTATGTCCTCTCCCCCGCAGGGTACACGCTGTGCCTGGGTAAGTCCTACTTCTTCCGCTTTAACCACCCTGAGGAGGCCAGCCGAATGAAGAGCATGATGCCCCGGAAGAACCCAGTGTGCCCCCTGGGATACGCCTCTGGTAAGACCCTAACCCCTGACCCCTGGCTCCCTCCACTGATTGACTTGTAGATAAACACAGTTTATGTTGAGGCTGTGGAATGAAGTCTGTCATTTTAGCAGCTGGAACCTCCACACGGATCATTTTCCTACAGCCAGGGGTTCTGTAATGGGGTTTACATGCCAATACTGTGATCTGCTGTAGATCTTGCTGTTTATCAGGACTTCCTCATGCAGAATGCCAGGAATGTGCCTCGTGTAAACACTCACAGGTTCCCTGCCTGCTGTATTCTGACTCCTGAAGGCTATTACGCCAGCTGTGAATGGCTGGGCTTCTCCTGAAGGTTGTCTCATCAGCTGTGATTGGCTGTGCTTCCCCTGAGGGCTGTCACGTCAGCTGCGATTGGCTGTGCTTCTCCTGAGGGCTGTCACGCCAGCTGCGATTGGCTAGGTTTGGTCTGAATAAATATGCAGTGTGGTTTTTGTACCACAGTAATTGCCTGGTGTTGTTTATGCTTGGAGCAGATGGAGGATCTGTCCCTCAGCTCTCCTCGCCATTTGGCAGCCTGCATCTCCCCTTTTATAACTTCATAGCTCCTTACGGAGTGCAATGCAGTGCCAAATGAAGGGGGCGACTTTTGGCCTGAGGCAGGTTTGGGGTCTGCAGCTGTGAGGGTTGGGGGGGGGTCATGTGTTCACACCCTCAGGCTTCAGCCTACAGCCCAGGTGGCCTATGTAGTGGTCAGCCTCCCAGAATACCATAGGCAGCCACCTGCACTAGATGCTGGGATATGGGACTATTGGCATGACCCCCCAGCAGTGAGGTAGTTTGCTGACTAAAACCCTCCCCGGGAACACTGACAGATATGGTGCCAAAAAGTGGAACTGTTTCCTCAAATGATGCCATGGGAGTCGTTCCGTTTTTAGACAGAGAATTCCTGCCCGCTGTGGGAGGGGTAACCATCAGAGGGCGGCCTTGCAGTGCCAATGGGGAGGGGGGGGGCACTCCTCTTCCTGTTGGGTTGGGGCTCCACCCCGCACATCTGGAAGAGATCAGAGCAGCAGGTAGAAGATCTTGGGCCTTTTAAAGTGCCTGCAGATGTTCACGGGAACGTCCTCGCTGGATCCATCTCCATGCTCAGTGGGTCTCTTTGTGCAGCTTATTAATACGTTTAAAATGAACTGCCATTAGCATCCGTAACAGGAACTGATACCCATAAAGCTCTTAGGGTTCCTGGAGATGTGCTGTTGGACCTTTAAGCCCTTAATTTATTTGCAAATAATTATTATAGGATTAGGATATTGTGTGTGTGTGTGTGTGTGTGTTTCCTTTTTATTTATTTTTTTCATAAACTTTTAGGGGCATTCGGAGATTTCTTGGGGCATTTTTGCCCTTTGCATTTGAATTTCTAACATCGATTTTATTCATTAGAATTGCTGCTATTATTATTTTTATTAAATAGTGGCATTCTAGCAGTGAAATTGCATTCAGGCAAGAGTAAGTAACCCCCAGTCATGCTGTCATGTCCGCACCCCTCCACAGATTACCTCCGGTTAGACCGCAGCCCTGGAGTGGGCATGTCTGGTGTGCGGGGGCCATGCCCAAGTGGGGATCTCCTAATGGATACGCTACAGAGGCGGAGGCTGGCTGCGGAGGTGGGCCTTCGCACCAACGGCAACTGTAGCCCATCCTACTACAGTGTGACTCACTCCCCGCCCATCAGTCCCATCCCCCGCCCCCTGGTGCAGACCCTTGACATCACGCCCCGCCATCACCAGGACCAGGGTGTGAGGCCCAGTGCTGCTGATCGCCCCCCCTTGTCCATCAGGCCACCCGTGCATACCTCGGGAAACACCCTTCTGACCCAGGGGAGGGATGGGCCCCTCCCTTACCGGCGCTCTAGCTCCCGGCACCAGTCCCAGGACAACATCTTCCTGTCCACCTCTGAGGACAGCAGTTTACCACGGTCTGCTTGGAATGGCTCATCTCCTGACCGTGATGCCCGCTCACCACTAGGGAGCAGCAGTGGGGCTGCCAGCATGCCCTCCAGCCCCCAGCTGGCTCGCCGCCTTCGTCCACATGATGTGGGGAGCCTACGGAGGAGCCCAGGAGGGGATGGTGGGCTAGACCCCGTGCCCAGACAGAGGAAGTACTCCGCAGGCTCACTGGGGACCCACAGCCGGTCTTTGCCCCGTCTGTACAAGGCCACCGAGAACCAGCTGCAGCCCCTCACTCTGGCCCCGCCCCAACGTTCTGGGGATAGTCAGGCCCGTCCCCCTATCCCACCCGAGCCTATGAGCAACAGCCACAAGGAGGTGCTGTCCATCTTACTATCCTCCCGCTCACCCACGCGGGGCTCCACCCCCTCAGAATCCAGCCCACCAGACAGCGCCCCCAGCAAGTCCACCAGCCCCCGCATCGCCAAAAAGCTGAGCCTGACATCCTCGGCATCCTGCTCAGACCTAGAACACAATTCCCTGCGCGGGTCCTCACCTTCTTTGGATCAGTGGCTCGGTGAGAGGCGACCCTCCTTTGGGAAGGCAGGCTTGGGCGTGTGGCCTACTAGAGAGAGGCGTGGCAGCATCAGCTCACTGAGTGGAAAGGAGGAGCTGAGGGATTACCACCAGCGGCAGAGGGACGAGCGTCTGCGCGAGCAGGAGGTGGAGAGACTGGTGAGTGTGAGCCCCCTGCAGGGCAGAGGAGATTCCGATCCTGGATCACCACCTCTGCTGTTTTCCTGCTCTCCAACCTCTTTGGATAGCCGGGCTGTCAGCATTGTCACATGGTGTACCTCAGTAGGGGCGTTGCTGTGATGCTGGGGCTGTGGAAACCTGAGGGGTTTGAGGACTGGCATAAACACTGCCACAGAGCGCTGGTCCTCTCATAAGTCCCCCGAGCTGATAGGTACGGACAGGATTGACCTTCATATGTGTCCCGTAGGTGCCAGGCACCAGTTTTTAGTGGTTGGTGAGCAGAGACAGCCCTAAATTCATGTGCGATTTGCTGGACTGGGAATAAGCGTAGTTCACAGGGTGACCTACAGCCATGGGCGGGATAGTATGGGTTCAAAGACATGCCAGTGAGCTTGATGGGATCCTGATGGTGTAGATGGAATCTTTTTTGGGAATCTGGGTGTAGAGTGTAGAGGACTTTAGCTAAGTGGTTAAGGTGTGGTCAGGCCATGGTCAGCACCCCCCCCCTCCCCCCCCCACCTTAATACCCAACCCCACCTGTGTGTGAGCCTGTGCCATGAATGACATGAGATAAACGAGATAGCAAGATGATCTCCTGGAGGGTTTGGGAGTTCAGGGGGCAGGAATGTTGCGTGGATGTTTGTGGTGGGACGTGTGCCGTGTGTAAATAACAGGATATGTGGTGCTGCGGCTCGCAGAGGAGCCTGACCTGTCCTGGGTGCTGATGATCCCCCACCACAGAAAACTCCAGCTGCCTCGGGAAACGGAAGGATTAAATCACAGGGCTCCTATATTTGTATTTCCCCCCAAATGGATGCCAGGGGTGTTTTTCATGAGATCTGGTTTCAGCATCCAGCTGGTGCCTTGAGCCGCTCTGCACTCAGATCTCTTCCTGCTGCTGATCCCCGTTATCGCCAATGTGAAGTGCTCAGGTCTCGGTTCTCCGTATTGTCCCTGCCGCTCCCACTTGCCGTGTCTTTGGTATCATGTCCAGTCCTGCCGGTGGACAAGCCCTGGGGAATGCTGATGAGGGGTCTCCATGCCTGCTGATCTGATTAGCCATCAACGCGAAAGGAGGAGTGGTCATTATGCGCTTCTTTCCTGTAACTCCTGAGTCTGAGGACATGGTGGGTCTCCTCCGCTCTGTCTGTCTCTCCTCTCCCGTTTCTCCATCACTGTTGCTGTTGTTTCCTGTTTGGTGTGTGACTGGAGCGACTTGGTCGTACTGGATGTGTGGATCACAATTAGTTGAGTACCTGTGAATTGTGGTTAGGTTGGGAACCCGAAGATCGCGGTTAGGTTGGGTATCTGTGGATGGTGACTATGGCGATGAGTGGATGAGCAGCTATGATGAGAGCCTTCAGGTGCCCCTAGTCCTCCTGTGCCAATCCCCCTAAGCTGCAGCATCATTTGGGTATCAGTCAGTCTCACTGACTGAAGTTCCTGATCCAGGATTGCATATCCCTCCTTGGATACTCATTTTCTGGATGACTTGTGGTTTGATTAAATGAGTGGAGATTGCTGGGAAGATGATTGTAGTATTGGTATAATGCAAGCTAGGCTCTCGTTTGTGACTGCAAATGTGTTCTCCTTAACATAAGAACATAAGAAATTTACAAACGAGAGGAGGCCATTCGGCCCATCGAGCTCATTTGGGGAGAACTTAACTAATAGCTCAGAGTTGTTAAAATCTTATCTAGCTCTGATTTAAAGGAACCCAGAGTTTTAGCTTGCGCTACACTAGTAGGAAGACTATTCCATACTCTAACTACACGTTGTGTAAAGAAGTGCTTCCTCAAATTTGTTTTAAAATGTTTTCCTGCTAATTTCCACTTATGGCCACGAGTTCTAGTATTTAAACTAATATTGAAATAGCCATTTGGCTGAACAGCATCCAGACCTGTTAGAATCTCATATACCTGGATCATGTCCTTAGTCTCCTTTGCTCAAGGCTAAAATGAGCTTGTACTCATCTTGCACTCTGACGGTGGACTTGTACCGTAACAGGATGCACTTGTGAGAAATCTATGGAGTCAGAATAGTGCCATATGTACTTGTATGTGTACTTTCCAATTTGCACCCGTGAAAAGAAATTTGCTCGCACTGAACACAATTTTCATTCGCAAAAAAAGATATTTTGCAAATGCAAGTCAATATTTTTTGTAAATGCGAAACCAAACATCTTCATAAAAATATTTTTTACAAAGATAGAATGGTTTTCAAGTACAAAACCTGTATTGCAAATCCAAGTCCTCTTGCAAATACCAACCTTCAAGTGCAAATTCACACTTGCGCACATAAATAATTTTGGCACTAACTTGCCTAGCGCTTTGAAGATAAATATTTGCTCGCATAGCCACCAATCAAATTAATTCATTTTCTAGCCAATCATAAAACCACTGGTGTCCTGCATACCATAACCGTACTACTGGATAATTACTGTATCATGAATTACTTGTTTTATATGTTCATGTAACTTAGAACTTAGAATAAAATACTACAGCACTCCTTTTAATAACATATCTATTAATTATTATTATTAGATTAGCTACGTACGTTGTAAGACATTAAAAAACAAAACATATTCACGGTCTTAGTAGACTTGGTATGAAACACTGATTTAACAAGTAACCTATAAGCATTCAAAAAAGTTTATTGCTAATTTTAAAAACACGTCAGCTGAAACACCCAGCTAAAAATAGAATTTGTTGCGTCGCGTGCGGGCGAGCGGGGAAGCAGGCGAGTCGAGCCGTGATTATTTGCAGCGGACAGGACAATACGGCAGACAACATCAATGACTGATCTGGGGAATACTGACTCAGACGCGGACTAAATACACAGGATAGGCCAAACAGAACAGACAACAGGTGATTACAATCGGGAATTAACACGAGGCAACGAGGGGGGCATGACACACAGGAGGATCGAACGAGCAGGTCGTGACAGAATTAGCATCGGTAAACAAATTAATTGCGTCATAGTTTGATAAGGCGTTATCATATCATTACAGCTAGCGTGGCTAATTTATTCTGTACGTCAGTACAATTTTTATCAAATCGTTGGATTTATTCAAAATTCTGACTACTATCTTCCCGTATAAAGTCCTGGTCTAACACCTTCATCTTCTTCAGCATGTTTTTTTACTGGAAGGCCAGGATTGGTTGTTACCTTACCTAGGCAAATTAGTGCCAAAATTATTTATATGCGCAAGTGTGAATTTGCACTCGCAGGTTGGTGTTTGCAAGAGGACTTGGATTTGCAATACAGGTTTTGTACTTGAAAATCATTCTATCTTTGTAAAAAAATATTTTTATGAAGATGTTTGGTTTCGCATTTACAAAAAATATTGACTTGTATTTGCAAAATATTTTTTTTTGCGAATGAAAATTGTGTTCAGTGCGAGCAAATTTCTTTTTACGGGTGCAAATTGGAAAGTACACATACAAGTACATATGGGACTATTCCCTCTATTGGTGTGTTACAGCCCCCGGTGTATGAGCTACTGTTTGCCTCCTAGGAGCGACAGCGCTTGGAGACCATTCTCAGCCTGTGCTCGGAGCTGGGCCGCTCAGGGGGCGAGCAAGGGGGCTCCGCCGAGGCCGACCTGCAGAAGATCAACCAGGAGCTTGAGAGGCTGCAGCTGTCTGACGATGAGTCCGACGCCACCATCCCTGACGCAGCCCAGGCATGGACCCTGCTTCGCTCTGGCCTCTCCCCCTCCCCCTCCGCACAGATGCTCAGGACTCCCTGGGTAAGTGACAGACCGGCTGGGGGGGGAGGCATGAACATACTAATACACCAGACTCAGAGATGTGACACACTCAAGTTGGACTCCGGCAGGTTTTAAATCCAACAAATCAGCACAAGGGGAGAGGAAGTTTGGGTTGGGCTGGGTAAGCTGACAAGGACACAGCATTAGAGAGAGCTCAGTTTGGCATCAGCACGTCAGAAGAGCCTGGTATTGCCTGAGCATGCCTGGTAGTGATGACTGCTGGACCAGCTTGGGTTTTAAAGCACCTTTTCTTCCATAGTGTGATTCGGCAAATCTTGTAAAAGCAAAGTCCTGGGGTCTGAAGTACCCTGCTGGGGTATTTCCTGTGTTTAGGTGGACCGTAGGCCCCAGAATCTGGCACAGCGTTGTCAGTAAGCTCCCCTACTCGTTTATCCAAATCATAACAATGTCTAGGTCTATATTAAGAGATGTAAATGAGAAATTCCAGGCTGGTGAGGTTAGCCCAGGCAATAGGCTCATTTTAAACTGGCAAAGCAGTTCTGTCATTCTGCCACTAGACTTGTTAAGGAGGAGCTGTGTTCTGGGCAGCTCAAATTGCTTAGTGGGTTGCTGGGATTCTGGGTCAATATGAGGTTGAATGTCGGCCCTCAACCGTGATGAAGTTCCTAAACACAGGATGATGGTCTCCGTTTATCCTCTCTCTGAATTCTGGCACCATTTTCTGGTCAGTTTGTGTACCACCGGCCCACCCCACACATTCCAGAAAACGGACACAGGAATGGTTGGAATTTGCTTTGCTCAGACCTGAAGAATAGCCTAGCTTGTTTGTGTGGAGTCTTTAATGTTTCTTTGTCCACTCTTGATGAGTCTCAAGTCTGTAGATATGAATTAGAAATACAAGATATCTAATTAGACCAGAGTAGCTGGCCGTGGACAGAAGGGCTGAATGAATCTGGGGATTCAGACAACATGGGGCAGCTGTCAGGGGCTCTGGTCTCCTCATGAACTGGAGCTGAGTGTCATTATGTCATTATCAGGTTCCAGAGCCGGCTGCGGAATCACAGCTGAGGTTGAGGGAGGTGGCCCATATGGAGGAGGAGAGGGTCGTTGTGCTAAACCACATGGAGGAGCTGCAGCAGAAGATCAAAGACCTGGACAACCAGATGGAAGAGTCTGTTCGAGAGGTATGGTGCAACTGAAAGCGCAGAGGAAATGTGTGTAAGAGGTATGGATGAGTTCTGTAGGGCTACCAGACAGTTGGAAGAGTCCATTTGTAGGCCAGCAGCTTAGAGTCTTGTCAGGCACCCTTTGACCTTTGACCTGGGTGTCAGGTTTACATCATCATAACTTGCACAGTTCCCCAGGAAAGTGGACTGATCTTCTCCCCTGAGAAGAGACCCAGTGGAATCAGCGAATGCCAGTGCAGGTTCACACATGGTGGTGGACAGTGATTTAGCTGCTGTGTGTGACCCACAGGGCGTGTACATGGTTTGGGTTATTTCAGGGCTCTTTCAGGTTCGCCGGTGCTGACTTTTCAGGACACCAGCACACTGGGAGTTCTCCTCTTTTTTCCTACCTTTTCTCATTCCCCCCTCACCCCTCCGTCTCTCCTTTCCTTTTTTCTCTCTGTCAAGTCCCATGCTGCTGCAGGTCCAAATAAGGCTGTGTCTGGTGGCTCTGAGTGAGTAACTCCTAAGGAAGGAAAAGCTTGCTGCCACCGCGCCGTCAATCCTGCGCTCAGCTTCCTGCCATTATCCCAGACTGTCCTGTGGCCTAGGAGCTCTGCCAGCGTCTGTGGGGGGGCGTTCACCTTTCAGTTCTGACAGCCGGGGGGAGGCCGGGGGGAGGCCGGGCGGCAAGGACCCTGTGTGTGTGAGGTCATGGCCTCCCTTCATCCTGCATCACCTTCACTAGTTAGGGAGTCGCTGCTGTGATCTCAGAAGCTGACATTTTCCAGAAATCACTTGAGCAATAATTCAGCTGTTTAAATTAGTCATGGTGTTGATTTGACTGCCTCACCCTAACAGATGACTAACAGACCTGTTGTTTACCTGTTTACTTACTTGTTCACTTCTGTTTTCATTTCCTAATACCAACTGGTACCTTATTCTCATTTTTGTTCCACCGCTAACATTGTTACTGGATCGCGTTCAAGTTTCAGTTCTGGTTCTGGTCCAGATGGAGTTAGAGCGCGCCCTGGTGGACGGGGAGCACGACGCTGAGACGGTGCAGCTGGAGCATGAGAAGGAGCTTCTGAACCAGCTGAATGAGAAGCTTGTTGACGTGGAGAAGAAAAGTTTAATGGACAAGTCCCAGGTATGCAAGAGTGAAAGCTTGAGTCTCAGAGTCAAAAGGCCAGATGGTCCCAGATTCGAATCGTTCCACTCCCAGGTACACTTCATGAACCCAGATGCCCTCAAGCCCCCATGAGTCTTACACCCCCGTATTCCTGAGGGTGAGTGCAGCTGACACACTCCTCAGAAATGCAGCTCTAAATTTACTGCAGTGACATGGAGCAGTGTAGTGAGGGGGCCTGTCGTGGGGGGCTGATGACACGGGACGCGCTGCCAGGCTCGGCCCCCAGCCAGTGTCCGGTCTGGCTCTGGAAGTCTAACAGCTGCCTGACACACGAGTCCCAACCGCCGTCCGGACGGGAAGTCGGGGAGGAGAGCAAACCTCCAGCCAGCACAGTGCCCATCAAACCGCCGGCATTAGACCCCCTCCCTGGGCTGAGAACCTACAACCCTAAGGTCACAGAGACCACGGCGCCATCTGTTGGACCTTCAGTGCGTGCTCCCCATCTCCTGTCTGCGCTTGCCTGCTGTTCTGCCTGTCCCACCTATATCGGACATTAATCTGGCTAACCTGCTTCCAGCCCCCTCACTAACGCCCCGCTCTTATATCCCCCACCCCCGCCTCCCTCGCTCTGTAGGAGAAAGCCCAGCTCGATGCCCAGAGGGCAAAGGTCAGCCAGCTCAGGGAACTCCTCTCCGAGCAGAAGGTGCAGCTGGACACCTGTCCCGAAGCCCTCAAGGAGCAGCTCCAGCTGCAGCTATCCAGGGTCAGTAGGCTGCCCACAGTACCTCCCCGCTGGTCCAGAGTCAGCAGACTGAGGCTGTGTGCCCAGGATGTAGGATGTAGGATGGAAGCCAGCTCTGATCTGGGGTCAGCCATTCAAGCACTCACATTAACTCACAGAAGTAACGCTGATGATAAAGCTGATCCCAGGTCAGTCCACTGTAGCATCCACCCAAAGCATATGCTGTGTTGTGCTAAACGGCACCTCACTGCTCTGAAATCAATCATCAGCTTCCACGGCAGGTTCTGTGGCTCTGCTTCCCTCCCTGCCAGTAGATGAGAGTATGAGACTCACATGGTGCCAGCCTGTGCCTCTCTCACTGCCCTGCCTGCCCTGTCCTGCTGTCTCTTCTCCTCCCTCTCCTCTCCAGCCAGTTCTGAGCTGGTTGGGCTTATCACCCCTCCTATGATCCCCAGCCCCCATCCTGGAGTCCTATGTAACACTCTCCCCCCGAAAGAGGATGGTGGCTGACAGGAAGCATGTAAACTGGGAGCTGGGTTGACCTCTGACTCCTGACCTCTGACCTCCCATGTTCGCAAAATGTCTTTACTGTTGAATACAGCATGAAACGTGTAGATTGTCTGGGCAACTGGGTGCTTTGCCACGTGTGCCTGACCCCTGGCATGTGCCTGGCAGGACGCAGAGGCCCTGGAGCTGGAGACTAAGCGGTTCGAGGACCTCGAGTTCCAGCAGTTGGAGCGGGAGAGCCGGCAGGATGAGGAGAAGGAAGCGCTATGCCAGCAACTGCTGAGGGACATCGCCGAGCGCCAGCGCAGCGCAGCATCTCGCAAGGTGAGGAGGCAGGGACGGGGGTGGAGATAGGACAGGGACAGGGCAGAGGGTGGGGACATGGGCAGGGATGGGTGAGACTGGGAACACAAGGGTGGGGTGGAGACAGGGGTGGGGCAGAGACAGGGGCGGGGCCAGGCCTCCCTCACCGACTGTACCTCACGGCCGCAGGAGCGGCTACAGGCCCTGCAGAAACAGTCCAGCCAGATCCAGCAGCAGGCTGAGCAGGAGAAGGATGCCTTTCTGCGGGAGAAGAGGGACCTGCAGACCCTGCTGCATAAGGTATTGAGTAGGAAATGTGGGGGGGGGGGGGTTGGGGCTGGCAGCATCACGTTCCTGTGTCCCTGGATCATGTGGGACCCCCCCCCCTGTGTTTGTCAGGAGAGGGAGACCCTGACAGTCTTGGAGACGAAGTATACGGCTCTGACAGGGGGGAGGGACTTCTCCAGCACGGCTTCCCTGAAAGAGGTACCCAATCCAGCACATATGTATCACAGGCTCCCCGGCTAGCTGGCGCACATGGGTATCAAGCACTTGGGCTGTCCAGCACATGCATATATCACGCATTCAGGCTACCTGGCACACAACGTGTATCTCACACACATGCAACTGGCACATGCGTGTATCTGGCACATGCACTCGGCACATGTGTGTATCTGGCACATGCACTCGGCACACGCGTGCATCTCACACTCAGCACACCTCCTTCCCACCACATTTCCACCTCATCTTGGAGGTCTGTCTTCTTCCTCCCACCCCAACTCCTGGGCTCCGGATCCGCTCTGCCCTAAGCTGGCTGCAGTGTACCACATTCTAGGCCCCCCCGCCATCCTCCACGGCCCCCTGTCCCACCCTGACCTGCTGGTCCTCTCCTCTCAGCTGGCTTCCCTCTGTGCCAAGAGCGCTGAGGTACGGTTGTGGTTCATACTGCCTGCCTGTTGCTTACTCGCATGGACCGAGAGGTAACACAGTGTGTGACTTCACTTCCCAGCATGCAATTCACCAGGGTGGTCCATTAACATGTCCAATGATCACTGTGGTCTCGATTGACCTGCTTGTTCACTTAAACCACGAGTAGGTAAAAGAAAAAGAATCTAAGATAATCTAATCTAATCTGTCTAACCAGAGCATGGCACAATGGCATGCACCTGTGATCTTGCTAACCTTTTCAGGACCTCTCCATCTTCCCTCCCCCCCCTTCTGTGTTCTGCACCCCACACCCTCCGTCCCATCTCCAATGGTTTATTCCGCAGGGTTATGTCACAGTCAGTGAGATCAATGAGCTTTATGAGCAGTTTGGGGTTAACCCCACCCCTGAAGGCCAAGCCACACCCTCACCCAGGCATGAGCTTGAGTCCAGCCCCAGCCCTGAGGAATGCACCCCCCAGTCGGGTGAGGAGGAGGTGCGTGCGTGCCGTCGCTGCAGTTTGGGAGTCCCTCTTTTCATGTGGTTTGCTCCACAGAACCCCAGGCAAAAGTGAAATGGTCTATAGAGTACTGAGGCACACAGAAAGGCACAGAGAGACACACATAGGCACAAAGAGATACAGACAGACAAGCACAGAGAGACACACACAGACAGGCAGGTACAGAGAGACACACACGGGAACACAGACAGGCACAGAAAGACACAGACAGGCATACAGACACACACACAGGCACAAAGAGATACAGACACGCACAGAAAGACATACATGGGTACACAGACAGGTACAGAGAGACAGGCACAGGTAAACAGACAGAGAGTCACAGGCACACAGAGGTACACAGTCAGACACACACAGGCACACAGACAGACACACACAGTGGTACACACACTCATTCACAACGATACAGAGACAGTCACGCATATACTTCCCTGCTATTTCTGTCTTTCTTATTCTTTTTCCCTGCTTCATTTAAGTGTGTGTGTCTTCCTGTCTGCATGCCTGTCTCTGTGCGTCTGTTCCTGTCTGCCTGTGCCTGTCTGTGTGTCTGAGCTCCATACTCATTGTGTCCTATTCTTTCAAAGCCTGACCTTTATTCCTTCCCTGTGGAGGGTGTGGCTCTCCCTGGCCCTGCCCCCTCCTCACCCCACCCCCACCGCCCGGTCCCCAAGCCTCCCTCAGTGCACTGGCCTGATGACATGGTGACTTACCATGACTCCTCGCCCCTCTCTGAGTCCCCCCCTCCGCTTCCCATCAAAAAACACCACCGCCGCAAACAGGTAAAGGGCATGCCCACATGGTGCACTGGCACGGGTTCCAGGGCCTCGCTGCAAGGGTGTGTAGCCTGCCGCCTCTGTCGCACTGTGTGTGTTTGGGGGCGGGGGCAGTTGCAATCAGAGGGTGCACACGTCAGCCTCACTACTCCTCTGCAGAACTTCCGTACCCTGGAGGAGAAGAGGTGGGGCATGAAGGAGGCGGGGCCTGTGCTGAGTGACACGGTGCCTCGTAGGAGGGTCCAGCCAATGGCGTCACCCACTTTCAGCAGCTCCACACTGGGCCGCTCCATCACTCCCAAGGTCAGTGGGCAAGGTCATGGACACACTGGGCCTTTTCTGGGGGGTCATTCTGCTCTGTGGGGCTGGAGTCAGGGTGTGGTAGACTGGCCCTCCCGTCCAGGGTGTCCCTAGGCCCAGTGTCTGTGCTCCAGGCTGAGGGTGACTCTACTGGGAGAATGGATATGGAAATGCATCCAGGGAGTCTGGGTCCTTAGCCGACTTCTGAGTCCTGACTGCCCTGAGATGCTTCTGTAATGGTGATTTTTGTGTCTGCCTGCAGTCCCATCAGCCTCTGGTGCAGAGCTCCAGCTGTGGCAGCATGCTCCCTCGCAGCCTGGCTGTGGCCCCCAGCGACCCGGAGAGCCACCATCAGCACAGAAGTGAGTGTCCCCTCTTCCGGTACTGGTTCTGTAACCTGATGGACCATTGCTAACAGCCGGGTCTTCATGTCCACCACCCCCTGCCCCCCAGGGAAGGCTATGAGAGGTAGGCTTAGCATTAGCTAATAGTGCTGTACTGTTCTATAGTGTCTCTACACAGTGTGATAGGGGGGCCGTCCTCCTGGAGCATGTGACAGAAGCGCATTGTGGCCTACTGGGAAATGTAGTACCACATGGCCTGTCAAGCACTGCTGGTTACCGTGGCAACCTTAAGTGGTGGGCGTGGGGTACATCCTGTGTGCCAGATTCAGAGTGTCGTCCCCCCCCCCCCATGTGTGTGCCTGGGGTCAGGTGACTGCAGTTTGTGTGCCTGCACGCTCTTTCTGGGAATTTGTCTCTCCGGAATTTGGGGGGGTGGGGTGTAGAATCGGAAGGAAATGCTTCTCGTCTCCGAACGACTGTGCTGTTATCTGATCACTGCAGCGAGGCAGAGGAGGACTTTGAATGTGGAGGACTTGATGGGGTGTGGAAGGTGGCACTGCAGAGGGGTTGGGGGGGGCACCATGGACACAGTCCAGAGACACACAGGTGTGCAGCTCTGTGTTGGGGGGGGGGGATCATCCAACCTTAGATCCTGCGCAGTTGCCTCTGTCCCTCCCAGGGTCCCCGTGGGGGGGGGAGTGTATTAGCAGGCGCGCCCCCACCAGCCCGATGGTATCAGAGTTCCTGAGCGGGGTGGCAGGGGGGGAATAGTATTAGTGTTTGTGGGCTAGGTGGTTGGGTGGGGGGGAGTGGGCCCCTCACCCCGCCCGCTTAGTTACCAGGAAAGCGAGCTCCGCTATACAGGTCCTCCAGAGTTGAGCAAGACAGCTGGGGTTACAGTTTGGACCGCAGAGGCATGGACGCAGGGCCGGATGCCCTGTCTCTCACCCTGTGACTGAGAGTGCGCTCTGATCGCCTAGGTCATGTTCCCGGGCCTGGGCAGCAGCCCCTGAGCGCCCGGGTGGCGTCACAGTCCAGCGTGTGCCTGCCGTACGGCGACGACGCACACGCCTACGACACTCTGAGTGTGGACAGCTCCGACAGCATGGAGACCAGCATCTCTGCCTGCTCGCCAGACAACGTGTCCAGGTGAGGGGGGGGCGTGGGGGTGTAATACACTGTGCATGGTGTCAGGTGTAGTACAGTTTGTGTACATTGTATAATATAGTATAGAGTGTAGTATACTGTGTAGAATAGGACACTGTGCACAGTGTATAATGTGGTGTGTATGGGGTAAACTGTACTACATTATGTAGTATAGCACGGTTTGTATAGTGTGTAGCATAGTACTGTGTGTAGAATAGTATTGTGTGTAGTGTAGCATAGAACGATGTGTATGGTGTGTAGTACAGTAGAGTGTGTATGATGTGTAGTGTACTAGGGTGTATAGTACAGTGTGTTTGGTGTGTAACGCAGTACAGTGTGTATAGTGTGCAGTGTAGTATAGTACAGTGGTTATGGTGTGTAGTGTAGTATAGTGTGTACAGTGTAGCATAGAACAGTGTGTATGGTGTTTAGTACAGTACGTTGTGGAAAGTGCGTAATGTCATATAGTATGGTGTGTAGTACAGTACGGTGTGTAGCGTAGTACAGTGTATTGTGCTGCCTGTCTCTGAGAGCTTTGAAGTGTAGCTGGTTTCTGCTGGGCCGTGTTGTGGGGGGAGGGAATTGGCCATAAATTCCGACCCCTTTGACTGTGGGCTCAGGGTTCGCTCAGTGGGTTCTCAGCTTCTGTTTCTGATGGCCTCCTGTGCCCGGGATGCACCAGGGCGCTCCATACCCCCCTACATCCTCCATCATAACAGCAGTGGGGTCACACATCCTGTGTTTGTGGCATCTGTGTGTTTATGGCTAAATAGGCAGTTCAGTGGTGCTGATGGTGAGACCATTCTGTGTGGGGGGGGGGGGGCTTAAATATTTTTAAATATCCTGAGAGAGCGACCTCATCATCATCATCATCATCATCATCATCGTTCCTCTGCTTAAACACTTTTTTCCAGAGCTGAATGTTTTTCTGAAAAAGTCCAAGATTAAAGCTCCTTTATCAAGGGGTTTTATGGGGGCTGTCAGTGGCCCCAGATGTTTCTTCTGAGTGTAAATTAGGAGCGTCTGGTTCTGGGCCCTGAGCAGAACCAGCCTGTCAGGCATCTCCAGAACATTCCGGGTCCAGCAACGGCAGGATGTGCAGTGTGTGTGTTTCTGCATCACAGAGGGCCTCCTGGCACATGTGCCGCATCTTTGATGTGTCCAGCTGGTTCAGTTCTGTCTCTAGATTCTGGTCCAGAAGAGTTCATTGGGTCCGGTTGGGCTGTAATAACTCTGTGTTCTGAATGAACAGCGCCAGCACCTCCAACATGGCCAAGCTGGAGGAGATGGAAAGGCTCCTGAGGGAGGCCCAGGCAGAGAAGCACAGGCTGCTGGAGAACCGGGTAAGAGCACCTCCCTCTGGAGCGCATCTAGCCATTACAGAAACGCATGCATCAAGGGGGTGTCTGGTCCCAAATTGCCATGCTTGCTGTCCCGTGCAGGAGCGAGAGATGGAGGCACGCCGGCAGGCCCTGGAGGAGGAGAGGAGGCGCAGGGAAGAGCTGGAGAAGCGGCTGCAAGAGGAGACCAGCAGGAGGCAGAAGCTGATTGAGAGGGAGGTGAAGATGAGGGAGAGGCAGAAAGCTCAGGTATAGGAGGACAGCCTGTGAGGGTGGGTCTCTCCCATATCGTTCCCATTTGATCCATCCCTGCCAGGGCCTCCCCTTGACCTGCCCATGAGAGTGGGCCTCAGCACCTACTGGCCCGGTTTGACCGTGTATTCCCTCCTCCCCTTGACCTGCTACCTGCCCATGAGAATGGATCTCTGCCATACTGGCTCGATCTGACCTGTGCCCCACCTTCCCCACTCAGTCTCGCCCCCTGACCCGCTACCTGCCCGTGAGAAAGGATGACTTCGACCTCCGTGGCCACATCGAGTCAGCTGGCCACCACGTAGACACATGCTACCACGTGTCACTGACGGAGAAGACCTGTAGAGGCTTCCTGGTCAAGATGGGCGGCAAGATCAAGACCTGGAAGAAGCGCTGGTTCGTCTTCGATCGCAACCGCCGGACGCTATCCTACTATGCCGGTGAGAGTGCCGCACAGTGCCCCCCTCTGCGACTGAGGTTTTATTATAGCTCGGGGTCTCATGCCAGTTATTCTTCTTTTTTCTTCTCCTCCTCCCAGATAAGCATGAAGCCAAGCTGAAGGGTGTGATCTACTTCCAAGCCATCGAGGAGGTCTATTATGACCACCTGAAGAATGCGCACAAGGTGAGAAAGCATTCAGGTTGCCCCTAAACGTATTTGTATGTTGTGTATATGGCACATGACACAAGTGTGCATTAACGGCCCTTCCTGATGTCTTATTGGTTTTATTGTGTAATTACTATCAAAAGTTAAAATGTACTTGGGGAAAATGGCTCATTTGCATCTAATTAGGGTTGTGCTGCATTTCAGTTGTTCCTCTAACAAATACTGAAATTAACTCGTAAATAAAAATATTTGTGTCATGTGGATGCCACATTTTTTGTTTTCTTTTGGCTGCCCACTGATGGTCTGACTGTGCAACTGTGTCTCCCCCCACAGAGTCCGAATCCGTCGCTGACATTCAGCGTGAAGACACACGACCGCGTGTACTACATGGTTGCACCATCGCCAGAGGCCATGCGCATCTGGATGGATGTGATTGTCACGGGAGCAGAGGGATATACGCAGTTCATGGTGTAATACAGGCTTGACTTGCTCACAACCGCCCCCTGGAGGACTGCGGGTGCATTTCTTGTGATGCTTTTTTTTTTTGGACAAGCATTGTGCCTTACTACATCAAGCTGCGATGTTACGGTGCCTTGTTCTGTATAGATGTGAAGATTTTGCTTCAGGAGCTGGGAACGTTTGTGCTCTGGGGAACATAGGGGAGTCACATGGTCATACCAATCATGGCTCTATGCGTGCTTCTGTGTTGGTATACGCAGACCCAGTGCGCTCTCCATTTTCACTGTGTCACTCAGGAGTGTGGTGGGCGGACTGGAACTAGGGTGAGGTTCTGTGGTTTGGAGAAGGACTGCTGTCAACAGACAGCTCCCATAAACCTGTGCTTGTGTGTCTCACAGAGGGATTTCTGGTCATTTTTGAAACTCTAAAGTCCATTGGTACTGAGAGCAGTTGGAACAGTAACACAGTGCCGACCAACAACGCAGATCCATCCGATAAGACTAATCAGCATGGGCAAAAGCCTACATGGTTCCCACCTGCTGCAGTACCGTCAGATTTGACCAATCAAGATGGGTGAAAACCTGTGTGCTTTATACTTGCTATGGTACCCAGATTTGACCAATCAGGATGGGCGAAAGTCTGTGTGCTTTACACTTGCTGTGGTACCCTGTCAGATCTGGCCAATAAGCATGGGCAAAAGCCGCATGGTTCCCACCTGCTGCGGTACCCCGTCAGATCTGACCAATCAGGACACAGCGGTCTGTTTGTTACAGCTGCTCCAGTAACAGGACTATGTCCTATTTATAAATGTTTTTAAATGAGTATGTAATAGCCATATTTTTTTATATCCAATGCTTCTTATTCTTCAGTCTTATATCGTAATACTCATTTTAATAGTTAATCCTTGCATAGGATGTTCAGCATAGCTAAGAATCTTAACCAGGGACGGGAGGAGGGAGGTTAGCAGCCCTCCAAGGGTGTCCCACACTACCTCTCTGGCTAATTCTGGACTAGGCTCAGCTGCTTACCAGCTAGGCCACCATCTTTGTCTCTGTGGCTTTTTACGGCTGTATGTCTGACCTTGTCACCTAAGGGGTCTGACTATGTTAATATCTTTGTCCTCCTAAAAGCAGCGCTGGGCCCATCTTGCGAAAGCTTTTTGTTATATATAACCAAACGCTGAGCCTGTAAAAAAACCTCATCTCCTACTTTCCTAGCTTAATTTCCACACCCCATGTGAAGCCTTCAACTCCAACACTGAGTCTGGAAGATGAGTGTTCTTCTGTAATAAACATAATGCCACTAGAGGGCAACAAGTGAGCATTTTGGGTGCTCTGGTGAGCAGGTGAGTGCTGCTCTGATGGGAAAGCTGGGCCCTCACAGGGGTGTCAGGGTGCATTGTGGAGGAGTGAATTTTACCGTACCTGCTTCATGCTCTGCTTCATGTACTTTCTGTTACTCTTAAAGCTACTTTTCAGAAATGTCATGTATATTACATTTTTTATGTATAACATGCATGCTTTATTTTTGAATACAAATAAAGGCTGTCAATCATCCCCCCACCTCGTGATGCAGGGTCAGCCCCCATATCGAAACTTGAAACACTCTTCTTCTCTGGGAATTGACCACTGAATTACTGGACAGGAGCTATGAGGCCAATAGGGGGCACTAAGATCTATAGGTTTCTTTCAATTGGATTTGTGACTTGGAGTGTTGGCATGTGTGAGGAAGAACTCGGCAACACCAGGACCAGTCAGCATGCTGCAAACACCAGCACTGACACATTTCCAAAGATAGTCTGTCTCACTGGACTGGAACTTCCAGGCACTGAATCACCTGCCCAGATGTGCCTCTATGTTTTTACTGATCGGATGGCCCGATCTGTGGATTGCTTGACTGCTCCTGCTGGATGTCGTGGCTCTGTTTGGGTTAGAGTTGTCCTTTGTGCTTCCTCACTGTTACATAAGAACATAAGAAATTTACAAACAAGAGGGGGCCATTCGGCCTATCAAGCTCATTTGGGGAGAACTTAACTAATAGCTCAGAGTTGTTAAAATCTTATCTAGCTCTGATTTAAAGGAACCCAGGGTTTTAGCTTCCGCTACACTAGCAGGAAGACTATTCCATACTCTAACTACACGCTGTGTAAAGAAGTGCTTCCTCAAATTTGTTTTTAAATGTTCTCCGTTCTTTCAGGTTGGGCTTTTCAGAGGGTATCGATGGCCCATGTTCGGACCTGGATCTGGGGGACACCTCAAACCAGATGCTGTGAATAGATGTGAAATGCCAGAACATGAAAGTCCCCAGTGGGGTGGGAAGCACATGAATATTTCATAAACGCTGTTTCCTGCAAGGAGAGCAAGGGACCCTTGTGGGGGGAGGGACAATGACCGTGAAGCCACCTGCGGCGGGTAAAAGCACCGACCTTTTGTGTTCATGGTGCTCAATTTGATACAAAGTCACCTTACTGCTATGCTTGTGCAGGGTGGCATGCTGAGGAAGGCTGTGATTGGCTGCTTCATACAACTGTTCTAAATTTAATTGTAATGTCATGGGGCTCATACAATGAAGCTCACCAATTGGTTGCCAGTTTAATGCAAAACAAGGCTGTTCTGCTCAAACTCCTGGGTTGGGTATTCAGATAAGAAAAGAGCTCTCTCCAAAACTGGGGGGGGGGGGTGTTTCGTAATGTGCTGTTTATGTGTGTGTGTGTGTGTGTGTGTGTGTGTGTACATGCTTCCTCCTGCTGCACCCCAGCTGGGTTGCCACACTGCATTGTGGGCCAGACAAGCCTGCAGTCTGTACAGCCTGCAGCTGTGTTTAGGTTATTGAGAAGGACAGAGGTCAGAGTGTGTCTGTGTGTGTGTGTCTGTGTGTGTCTGTGTGTGCGCCCTTCAGTCCATTATGTTTAAAAGCAGCCAATACACTTCAGCTCAGCACTATGCTGCCTTTCATTGGGATCTGGGAGTCACCGGCACCATTTCTCCTTTTGTACCACATGGTGAAAGTGAAGTTTGCTACCCCCAATAACCTTTAGTTATGAATCAGCCCTGATTTGAACAATGGACTCCTGACAATGAGGAAAGCCTGCAGAATGCCTGACCATCGCCCCCTGGTGGTGGTTCGTTTCTTTTGACGTGCACAGGCAGATGTCCAGGGTAGGGCTACACAGGAGCGACGGAAACCATGGGCACATCCAAGGCCCACGGGTCACTTCGAAAGTGCGACTGGCCCTAACTGGACCTCTGTCCTGGGGGTCCTGGGAGTGGGCAGTGGGTGTGTGTCCTGCGTGCGCAGGGGGGTGTATCATGCCAAGTTACTCAAAGCGAAAGTCAGAGCTGCACAGTGACCACAGGTGTGTGTCTCAGAGCATACCTCTGCACAGTGACCACAGGAGAGCATCTTTGAGCATACCACTGCATGGGCATGCGGGGAAGCATGATTTCATTGCCAGTTGCCCTGCAGACAGGTTAAATATATAAAGTATGTCATAGTCATATTAGTGCTAGCCCTGTTTAATAGGATCTTATTCATAACAGTATTAATGTTGTGGCTAATGAACCAATCCTCTGTGAATTAGAAAACAAAGATTCACTGTATCTTCCTTAATGGATCTCTCCTCTCTGCCTGGGTGGTTGTGCATGCATGTAGGTGTGTGTGTGTGGGGGGGGGGGTTATGTATATTACATTTGGTCCCCACAATCCAAATTTGAGGTTGTGAGGACCATGTGTTCCGCCCCAAGGATAACCTCAGTTTTATAAAAATCTGGAAATGCAATCAAAAAAATAAAATAGCCAAAAGTTTTGTATTTTGTTTGGTTACTTAGGGTTAAGGTTATGGCTGGATTGGGATTAGGATTATGGCCATAGAAATGAAGAGATGAATACAAATGTGTGAGTATGTGTGTATCAGTTTCCTGTCCTCTCGCTCTGCAATCTCGCTGCTGTTTACAGCCATGCTGTATGTCCCGCCCCCCCAGCCTCCCCCTTGGCACTCATTGGATGACCTACTGGGGTTGCCATGGTTACTTCAAAGCTCAGGCTGCCTAGCAGGCATGTAAAATCAGGGACACCAACTCTGTGGCCCCAGTGTGGTGTGGGAAGTCGAAGGTGGTGTTCCACAAAACACGAGGTGGCAGAGTAGCTCGCTGCTGTTTACCGGGCAGAACAGGCACCCTGGGTTTTCCCAGATTGTTCTACAATCCAGCTTTCTGTCCTGTAAAATATGGATTCCTTTCTGCTGACACAAAATGTCCTGGAGTTTTATAGAGTTTTCCATTAATTATGCAGATGCTGTAAAGGCCCGTGTCTTATTGTTCGAGCCCCCCCCCCTCCAGTGATTCATTAGCGGAGCTCAGGTAATGAGATATTGCTGTTTTAAATAGTCAGTTTTGTGTATAACGTTTATATGACTGGAATAACGATACCCCCCCCCCCC